ACTTCTTTTAATTCTTGAAAAGTTCTGAGTCATTTTTTCTTCAATGTTGCTTCTCTACCATTGTATCCATTTTTCTGGAACTCCAATAAGGCATTTGTTTGGAGCTTTTCAATGTAAAAGCTGGCCTCTAAGACATCTTAGCTTTTCTTTCGTTTTTTTCATCTCTTTACCTTCTTGTGTTGTGTCCTGAGTTAACAAGTTTTATCTTGAAATTAACAACTTCTTTCTTCAGCTGTGCCGAATCTTCTATTATGTCCATTTATGGAGTTAAAACTTTCTATACATATTTCATTTTCAATATTTCAAATGATTACTTTATATGTCTATATATTTGTTTCTTGATTGTTCTTGTTCAATTATAATGCAATATACTCTTTTTAAATTTTTTATTTTTTTAATGCAATATATACTCTTAATTTAAAAAAAGGGAATAGATATATGTTAAGCTAATACACTTTTAGGTGAAATGTTCTTTGAAAAGTTCTCCATTGTAAAACTCTTCTTTAAGGTAAAAAAAAATTTCTTAAAAGTTCTCTTGACTGCCATTTTATCTACCAAATATTATCCCACTGTGCCTACCTGCATCAAAGCATGGAAAGAACAAGTTCCATTATTCCCATTTTAGAATAAGAGAAACTGAATCACAGTAAAGTTCTTTTTTAAAAATATATATATATTTATTGATTTCAGAGAGGAAGGGAGAGGGAGAAAGAGATAGAAACATCAACGATGAGAGAGAATCATTGATCGGCTGCCTCCTGCACACACCCCACTGGGGATAGAGCCCACAACCCGAGCATGTGCCCTGACCTGGAATCGAACCATGACATGCTGGTTCATAGGTCAACGCTCAACTACTGAGCCAAACAGTAAAGTTCTTTTTCAAATACTTTCTCCCCAACTTTTTTTCTGAAAAATATCAAAGCCACAGAAGAGTTAAAAGTACAATGTATATCTATATGCCCTTCACCTAGGCTCAAAATTAACATTTGCAACATTTGCTTTATCTTTCTTTTTATTTCTCTTTATATATACACTAGAGGCCCGGTGCACGAATTCATGCACGGGTGGGGTCCAGCCAGCCTGCCCCGATGGGGGCCGATTGGACTGGGCCAGAAGGGGGTAAGGGTCACGGGGGGGGGGGGGGGAGGGCACTGGTTGGAGCCAGGGCCAGCCAAGGGGAGGGGCCACAGGCGGTTGGCCAGCCAACCCCGCCCCCTGGCCTAACTCCTGGTCGAGGGGACAATTTGCAGACTAGCCTTTTATTATATACTAGAGGCCTGGTGCACGAAATTCGTGCACCGGGTCGGGGGGGTCCCCTCAGCCCAGCCTGAACCCTCTCCAATCCAGGACTCCTCAGGGGATGTCCAACTGCCGGTTTATCCCCAGGATCGGGCCTAAATTGGCAGTCGGACAACCCTCTCACAATCCTGGACCGCTGGCTCCTAATCGCTCACCTGCCTGCCTACCTGGTCGCCCCAACTGCCCCCCGCTGCTGGCCAGGTCACCCCCAATTGCCCTCCCTGCGGACCTGGTCACCCCCAACTGCCCCCCCTGCCAGCCTGGTCGCCCCTCATGGCCCCCCCTCCAGCCTGGTCGACCCACACAGCCTGCTTGTTCAGTCGTTTGGTCGTCCCTCACTAACCCCCCTGCCGCATGGTCGCCCCACTCAGCCTGCTTGTTCAGTCGTTTGGTCATTCCTCACTAACCCCACTGCCAGCCTGGTCGTAGGCAGCCATCTTGTGAGGGCGTGAGGGTTAATGTGCATATTAACACTTTATTATATAGGACTAGAGACCTGGTGCACAAAATTCGTGCACAGGTAGGGTCCCCCTAGGCCTGGCTGGCAATCAGGGCAGATCTGTGGGGTGACTGGCGGGGTGATTGGGGGGGCCCCTGCTGGCACCTGCCTTGGCCAGCCTGGCGCCACTGACTCACTGCCCTGCCCCCCACTGCCTACCTCTGTGGGAGGCGACCAGCAGGGCAATCGGGGGGCTCCCGCTGGCACCCACCTTGGCTGGCCTGGGGCCTGCGGGCTGGGGGCAGTTCCTATGTTGAGCGTCTGCCCCTGGTGGTAAGTGCGCATCATAGCGACTGGTCATTCCACCAGTCATTCTGCCGTTCAGTTGATTTGCATACAGTGGGTCCTCGGGTTACATCGGAGATTTGTTCCTACGGTGCGACTTAACACGATTTTCGCCGTAAGTCGGAACCCACCTACATAAGCACCTACGTCACTCACATGGAGCACATACACAGCAGTAATGAAGTGAAACAGTAAAAAAAAATTAGAAGAAAGATAACAATCCCTGACCTTTACTTGTGGTAAATAAATAATAAAAAACATAAAGCACATATGTACATACGTCAAAATGACGGAACTTTTTTTTTTTTTTATAAATAAATGGGAGAATGGTGATGTAACCACGAAATGACGTATGTTGAGTCCAACGTAACCCGAGGACTGCCTGTATTAGGCTCTTACTATATAAGATACATATACACACACATCCCCAAATACCCACATTTTCTTTTCTGAGCTCATTCCTAAACCCATTGTGATCATTCAATTACAAATATTTCAGTATATACTGCTAACGAATAAGGGCATTCTCAATATAACCATCATACCATTATCAAACCAAAGAAACCATGCAATTGAATAGTCTCTTACGTGGATGTGCATAAGCAGACTCAAAACAAGCAATGAAGCCATCTGACTTTTGTTCTTTATCTTGGCTTGTCTAATGGACCTGAAATGGTTCTCTAGTGAATTATTTAGAAGTGACACTCAATCTGTCAAAGAACATTTCCTTCCTCAATGACCTTGAAAACAGATTTCATTTACTGCTTCATCAGACAGGTATATTTAAATCCAACTCCTCAAAATTGAGCAACAACCTTCTAAGATAGTCAAACCTCAAAAAATCAAGTACACTGAATTTCCAGTTGTTTTCTAATGCTTCACAAAGTCTTAAAGTAAAGCCAATCAACTTAACTTTCAAAACTATACACTCCTTGGTAATGTTCCATAGGAGAAGTTTATATTGTACTAAACAATAATTTCACTATACTAGTTTTATAGGGGAAAAAACTGTTGTTCTTAAGAAAAACATACAGTACAAATAGCATTGATAAGCCTAAACCTGTTTATAAATGAAAAAAACAAACAAACTGTTAATATAGTTGTGAATTTATATTTTTAAAGAAAACCACTATTTTTTTCAGTGGATACAATTTAATCTCAGTCACTGATGTTAGGGACTAAATAAGGTAAAAAACAATAAAATCCTATCCTTGATGCCCTTGCCTGTGTGGCTCAGTTGGTTGGAGCATTGTCCTGTATACCAAAAGGTTGCAGGCTACATACCTAGGTTTTGAGTTCAATCCCTGGCCAGGGCACATAGGAAAGACAACCAATGGATGTTCTCTCCCACGTTGTGTTTCTCTCTTACTCTCTCTCTCTCTCTCTCTCTTTCTCTCTCTCTCTCTCTCTCTCTCTCTCTCTTTCTCCCCCTTCCTCTCTCTCTAAAATCAATGAGCATATCCTCGGGTGAAGACTTAAAAAAAAGACCATACAAGTCAGTTTAAGAGGTTTATTTCTAAAGAAACAGCACTATAACCTGAAGCTAATATTTAAAAACTAAACTGTATCATACAAATAAGAATTATACCTATAATCACAGAAGTGTTTAAGATCAATCTATAATTAAATAGCTAACAAGAAGAGTGTTTACTATGTACTACTAGGCACTGTCCTAAATACATCCCACGAATTCAATCCTCAGAGCAATCTCCTGTTTCTACTCACTGAAACAGAAGTAACAGAGAGGTGCTAGCATAAAACAATTTATGACCTCAACCTTAGAGAAAACTAGAATGAAAGAAGGCCATTTCAAGAAAATGGAAAATCAGAAACCAAAATATAAATATGACAAGTGTCCAGATAAGACCAAATAAAAGTTCCAAATTGCAGAAATTAGGGCTGGATAAATAGAATGGGATTGGATTATGAGAGGCCTTAAGTAACTAGCAAATGATGACAACTTTATAAAATAGCTAGAGCAAGCAAGTACCACTACAGGCACTTTATGTGCTAAAAGTGCCCTTTTAGAAATAACCTGGTGATGACTGAGAGAGAAAGAGAAGCTCTGTCCGTTTCTAACATTTACATGCCAGCGCAATAAATTATCTTGTACCTGAGGAACCAGAGAACACACACAGAAACAATTGCACCACCCTTCGCATCAATAAGTCCATCCACAATGAACATGAAAATGGTAAATATAATTGCAGCATGCCCTGAATTATTTTCCCAATATACCTTCAGTGAAGTTAAAAGGTACAATCTAAACTATGTAAGAAGTACTAGTCAAGTTATATAAGACTATTTTTGCTGTTCAGTACTATGTCAAAAGAATTTGGCCAAATTTGGCATAAGCATAAATTTTACAGTGTTTAGTGTTTACTTCAATAAAAGCAACATTACAAACAAATGAATTAACATAATATTTCAACACAGAGATTCCTTGTATTGCTTTAGAACTATTATACTATTTAATATGAGGTAATAAACATAATTTTTATAAACAGCCATTATGTAAATGATACACTTTGAAATTAATGTCACATTTATTCACACACTATTTAAGAACTAGGTATTTATTATCCATACAATAAATTCTATAATCCATATCAAACTTACGCTATGGCAAACAATTTCCTTTCTTTGTAATTAAATGAGCTCCTTCTAAAGAGAAGAAATGTGAGAAAAACATCTCAAGCTTGAAAAAACTAGCTTACTTACCAGTAACTTGAGTTATCCTATTGGGTCTTTTCCCTCACAGATCCACCTCTCTTGCCCTTCTGTCCAGCATGAGATTCTTCCTGATGGACAGCCACTGGAACTGAGGGGGCATGCAGTACAGATGTATATGTAAGAAAGTTGGGGGGAGGGGATTTGGAAGATGCTAGAGACATGCTTCAGTGCACTTGCTTACCTTCCTGAAATTGGAAATTTCAACGGTTCCTTGGTCCTCGAGGCATTCACAATAACTTCAAAGAATGTGGATCTGTGGAGATTACCCAATAGGAGAACTCCAGTTACTGGTAAGTGATCCAGCTTTTTCTTCTCTATCAGAATAAGAAGATTATTTCATTTTATTTGAGATTATTAATACATACAGAACTACAGAGAAAGGGTTATAAATTTACCAGATAACTACATATGCATGCACCAAAGTAAATGCAGAAACTAACTGCTAACCACAATGTCAACTAAAACTTCTGGCATTATTAGAAACACAAGCAAAACAAAACAAAACAAAAAACAGGTTTGATGGTTTCATTTTTAAAGTTCCACTATAAAGGCAGTTATGTTTTAATATACACATAAATCAGTTACCCCACTATTCCATTTCACTGAAACAACACCATCATTTTTAATATTAGTACAACGATAATTAGTTGATCAAAATCTGTCATTCCCTAACTAGTCATTGTCATTAACATTCACTGAATTTTGGTTTAGAGGCCACTACAGTGGATTAACAATATACAAGGCTTCAAATAAAAAGCATCAACACAATTCCCATTCAGCATTCAATAAGTCTTTAAAATAATCATTTGCCACCTACAACAAATCAACCACACACACATATAAAAGTATGCCAGGCCATGGACAAGTAACAACGCTGATTTTAAATACTTGTACAAAGTAATATATTTTTATTAACTGTTACACTTAAAATAATTGCCTAAAAATGGACGTGTCATTTAAAAAAATCCAACTGTTTCTAACAAAAGGAAAAAAGGTCTAGTAAACAGAACTTTATCTTCAAGCTCACATTAATACATCCTATTACCTTTAACTGAATACATATTAATCAGGTACCTGTTCACTTTAATGTGATACAGCATTGATGACTTCAAACACCAATTCTTGTTGAAGATACAGAGAGATGTTTCAATAATACACCTCCCTTTTACCATTATGTTACTAAATAACTATCCCCCCTACCCTTAAGAAACTTTGGTTTCATGGTTCTTCATTCTATGGAAACAAACTAAAGATAATGTATCATTTTTCCTTTGTTTTAATCATAAATAGAATAAAATGATGTATAAAATAGTTATTCAACAAAAAATTAAAAATATAATTCTAATAAATATCTTACATTTCTATCTTGTTATAAGGTAACTAGAGGCCCAGTGCACGGATTTGTGCACTGGTGGGGTCCCTCGGCGTGGCCTGCTGCTTCTGCCTGGGGCTCCCGCCTGCCGCTCCTGCTCATTCTGGCCCCACTGTGCCTTCTGCTGCCGCTGCTGCTGCTTGGTAGACTTGCTGCCGCTCTGAAGCGGTCTCTGGGCTGTGGCGGTCAGCCGGTCAGCCGTGAGCTCTGTGTCTGCGCCCATAGGTCAGCTGAGCAGTGCTCCCACTGTGGGAGCATACTGACCACCAGGGCGCAGATCCTGCATTGAGCATCTGCCCCCTGATGGTCAGTGCATGTCATAGCGACTGATCGACCAGTCGAACGGTCACTTAGGCTTTTATATATAGAGACTAGAGGCCCGGTGCACAAAAATTTGTGCACGCGGGGGGGGGGGTCCCCCAGCCCGGCCTGTGCCCTCTTGCAGTCTGGGACCCCTTGGGAGATAACAACCTGCTGGCTTAGGCCTGCTCCCGGGTGGCAGAGGGCAGGCCCAATCCCTAGGTGCAGCCCCTGGTCAGGCTCAGAGCAGGGCCGATTGGGGAGTTGGGGCGCCACCCCGTCATGCACAGAGCAGGGCGGATTGGGAGGTTGCAATGCCACCCTCAGTCACGCTCAGGGTAGACTGATTGGGGGGTTGGGGCACCGCCCCCTGTCACACTCAAGGCAGGGTCGATGGGGAGGTTGCGGCGCCACCCCGTCACGCACAGAGCAGGGCCGATCAGGGGGGTTGGGGCGCTGCCCCGTCACTCACAGAGCAGGGACCATCAGGGGGTTGAGGAGCTCCCCCCTGTCACTCACAGAGTAGGGCCGATAGGGGAGCTGGGGCACCGCCCCGTCACACACAGAGCAGGGCGGTTCAAGGGGTTGGGGCGCTGCACCCTGTCACACTCAGGGCAGGGCCAATGGGGAGGTTATGGCTCTACCCTGTCACACACAGAGCAAGGCCCGTGGAGGGGGGTTGGGGCGCCACCCTCTATTACCCACAGAGCAGGGCCGATCAGGGGGTTGGGGCACCACTACTGTCACACTCAGGCCAGGGCCAATGGAGAGGTTATGGTTCTACCCTGTCACACACAGAGCAGGGCCCGTGGGGGCGGGGGGTTGGGGCACCGCACCCTGTCACACACAGAGCAGGGTCGATCAGGGGGTTGGTGCGCTGCACCCTGTCACAACCAGAGCCACAGGGTAATCGGGGGATTGGGGAGCTCCCCCCCATCAGGCACAGAGCAGGGCTGATCAGGGGGTTTGGGAGCTGCCCCCTGTCACGCTGATCCCGGTGCCGGGAGCCTCGCTGCTCCGCTGATCCCAGTGCCGGCAGGCATATTACCCTTTTACTATATAGAATAGAAGCCTGGTGCACGGGTAGGGGCCGGCTGGTTTGCCCTGAAGGGTGTCCTGGATCAGGGTGGGGGTCCCCACTGGGGTGCCTGGCCAGGCTGGCTGAGGGGCTGAGGGCTGTTTTCCCACTGGCAGTTGACTAAAAGCTCCCAACCGCTCCTTGTTTTCTTTTTTTTTTTTTTATTCTGGGCCAGCTTTAGCTCTGAGGCCTCGCTGCTGAAAACATGGATACAATGTTGCGGTCCGGGGCTGACTGAAAGCTGGTTTTGTTTAGCTTCTTATTTGCAACATGGTAATAGTTGCTTAGAGTTGTAGTTGAGAGTCCGGCAAGTGAGGCGGGGAACGTTGGAGTCTGCAGTCCCTGGAGGAAGCAAGCCTCCCTGCTCGCTTCAGTGCATGGCTGCCGGCCGCCATCTTGGCTGACAGTTAATTTGCATAAGGATACGCTGATTAGCCAATGGGAAGGGTAGCGGTCGTACGCCAATTACCATGTTTCTCTTTTATTAGTGTAGATAGACATTGTACTTCATAAAGGCTAACAGCACACGTCAAGACTGTTTCTAGATTTCTACTTATTTTAAGATACAAATTGTCTTTGGTAAATTATATTCATTTTTCTATAACTCTGAATTTTAAAAATAACAGTACTTAATGCACTCAATTTTTTTCAATTTATCTTTATTGTTCAAAGTATTACATATGTCTCCCTTTTTCCTCCCATTGACTCCCTCCTCCTCACTCCCGCCCCCTCCTCAGGCCTTCACCACACTATTTATTGTCTGTGTCTATGGGTTATGCATATAAATCCCTTGGTTAATCTCTTCGCACCCTGCCCCTTCCCTCTGAGAATCTTAAGTCTGTTGCATGCTTCCATGTCTCTGGATCTATTTTGTTCCCCATTTTATTTGGTTCATTAGATTCCATATATAAGTGAGATCATGTTATATTTGTCTTTCTCTTACTAGCTTATTTCCCTTAGCATAATACTTTCCAGGAACGTCCATATTGTCTCAAAGAGTCAGAGATCCTTCATTTTTTATAGCTGCATAGTATTTCACTGTGTAAATGTGCCATGGCATTTTTATCCACTCATCTACTGATGGGCACTAGGGCTGTTTCCAGATCTTAGCTATTGTAAATAATGCTGCCATGAACATAGGGGTGCATGTATTTTTCTGACTGGTATTTCAGGCTTCTTAGGTTACATTCCTAGAAGTGGGATCATTGGATCAAATGGCAGTTCCATTTTTAATTTTTCAGGAAACTCCACACTGTTTTCCATAATGGCTGCACTAGTTTGCATTCCTACCAGCAGTGTACTAGGGTTCCCTTTTCTCCACATCCTCACCAGCACTTGTTGATTTGTTGATGGTAGCCATTCAGACAGGTATGAGGTGATGCCTCATTGTTGTTTTAATTTGCATCCCTCTGATGATTAGTGACTTTGAGCATTTTTTCATATGTCTCTTGGCCATTTTTATGTCTTCTTTGGAGAAGTGTCTATTCAGGTCTTCTGCCTATTTTCCAACTGGGATGTCTTCCTTTTACTGAGTTGTATGAGTACTTTATATATTATGGAAATTAACGCCTTATCAGATGTATCATTGGCAAATATGTTCTCCCATACAGTGGGCTCCCTTTTCATTTTTAAATGACACATTCACTAAAACAAGGGCATTACACAGACGTTCATTTCTAACTGTAATAAAAGGATAAATACCAAAAAGGTCATCTAGTTAGCTTTTCTAGTTAACTAAATAGAAATCTTGTTGACTTCTATTCCCTGGTACATGGCATAAAGGTCCTGTTTGGCCCTAGCAGGTTTGGCTCAGAGGATAGAGCTTTGGCCTGCGGACCAAAGGGTCCCAGGTTCGATTCCAGTCAAGGACACATACCTTGGTTGCAGGCTCCTCCCTGGCCAGGGCCCGCGTGCAGGAGGCAACTAATTGATGTGTTTCTCTGACATCTGTTTCTCTCTGTCTTTACCTCTTTCTTCCACTCTCTCTTAAAAAAGGCAAAGGAAAAATATTGAGTGAGGATTAACAGGAAAAGAAAAAGTCTTACGTGTTTGGATTGATAAAATAGGCACAGGAACAATAATCCAAATATATTATCCTTATGATATAAGCTAATATAAAAGATGTCATTAAGAACTAAATAGCCCAGCCGGCATGGCTCAGTGGTTGAGCATCAACCTATGAACCAGGAGGCCACGGTTCAATTCCCAGTCAGGGCACACGCTGGGTTGCAGGCTCGATCCCCAGTGTGGGGCATGCAGGAGGCAGCTGATCAATAATACTCTTTCATCATCGCTGTTTCTCTCTCTCTCTCCCTTCCTCTCTGAAATCAATAAAAATATATTTTTTAAAAAAGAAATAAATAATAATTTCTAAATTTTATTTACAGAAAATGCAGTCTCCATTAAACTCAGGTCTTATGAATTTAAAATATAATCAAGTACTTTTTTTAAAAAATGTAAGTGAATGAAAAGGTCTTGAAAATATTTTAAGGCAACCAAAATGGTCACTTAGACACCAGTATTGAAAGCTATATTTGTCCTTGTTATCATGCCATAAGCTCAAC